ATTTGAGAAACGTTGCCTTAGAACATGCCAATGTAACTGCCCAACAGAAAGATTCCTGGGCTGGGAGTCATGAAAGTTCGATTTAAGCATAAGAAAAGAAAGACTGAGTTAGACCGGTCTGGTTCACACATTTACCAGTGAGGTAATTCCCACTTCCCACCCTGAGGAGGAATAAGGACAGGGGCAGAAAGACCTACCCATTTCATCAATCAGTGTTATGCTACCTGGAAGCAAAATAGTAGAGAATGGTGGCTTCTACCCTGACCCCACATGCTGAGGCCCCAGAGCAGTCTGCCATATTGAACTCTCTCCCCAACCCCTGCTAAGACTGGCCTCATGGCATGAATACTCAGAATCAGTGAACCCAGAGAAGAACAGATAAAATTTTAGTCTTCCATTCTTAGAGGAGAATCGAGGAGACAGTAAGGCAAATACCACATTCTTCACTCTTATCAGTGAAGCCAGTTTCTCTGCCATGATGCCTCCCTCCCTGGATGAGCATTTTTTTTCCACTTAAAATGGGGTGCTCTGAGCTTATAAAACTTGTCATTGTCCAAAATGCTATAAATGGTCCATCCCTGCAGCAACAAATTCAACTACAAGTATTACATCTCTCCTCTTTGATTTGGAAGCAAAAACATGGCTCTTCTATCATAACCATAAACCACCCACACACAACACAGTGTTTCAATAAACACTAAGTGATGCAAGATGCTCCATTTCAGTATAACGGGTTATTTAATGAAGTCCTTCACTAAACAAAGCAACTGAGGAAAATTTGGTACAAAACAAATAACTTCACTTTGCCCAAAACAAACTGTCTTATGACGGAATGTGGTTGGAAACTCTTCGAATGGTCAGGAACTGGACTAATGAAGTTAACCTTAATAGTAAACCTGACATGCTTTTCTGGTGTTGAAGTTGGAAAACAACACTGCTTATTAAGAAAATTCACCCTGAACAACTTAATGCTCCTCCTAAACTGCTCTATAGTAGAAATTAATTGTTTCAGAAATAAAATGATACTCATTTCTTCCAGAGGGATTGGGGGCTCTTGAGGATTTTTAATTACTATGTACATGTAAGAGTTACTTTAGTCTGAAATGGGATATTTTAAAGATGTTGTAATTATTGTAAGAAAACACAGTAGAAATTTTATCTTACATTCTTTCAGTCATTAATTGGCCACAGAGATATGCAGTGCCTATTCAATGCTAGGCCCTAGGGATGCTCTAAAAGAGCTTATAATGGATAGGTTCTCCTGGTGGCTTTATTTGAAAAGGAAAAATACTCTGAGCCAAAGACCTTGCTCAGTTCCAGGATTCTGTGTTGAACGAGACAAACAAAAAGCTTGGCACAGAGCAAAACTTATATTCTCCTGGTGCCCTGCTTTGCCGTCTCTCTGCATTGCGCATCGCTGTTGTCCTTTTCTTGTCCCTCCGCACGATACTGTGCCATCAGAGCATGTAACTCTTTCTATTCTTCATCCCCAACTCCAGACTCTTCCCTTTAGTTCTCAGGACTTAAATTGTAGTTTCTTATAATCTTATTATAGACCTATATTCTCTTATAACTTGTAAGTCTTATATGCCCCAGTTAAAATCAGATTTCCTACTGCTTTGACTGCATTGTATTTTCACACTTCCCAGAATATATTCTCTGAGTCTGAATTACAAAATTTTGCTCCATTTTTTTCCCATGTAAAATGGGGTGCTCTAGCAAAAACCATCTACGTACTTGTCTTATCCCACTCGTCTTCCACTCAGACTAGTTGCTGAGTCTTTAAACATCATGCAGCATGATGCAGTCCACATAGCAGATGATCAGTAAATAATGCATGTGATGTGTAACTGGAAGGCATGTTACAGACCATCTAGGCTGAGTTTCCTGTATCAGAGATGAGAAAACTGAGGCTTAGATAAGCTTAGTGGGCTAATGACACATTGACATTAGCTACACATTGACACACATTGACACACACATTGTGTCACATTGACACAATGTGTACCCATTGTGACACAATGGGTACACATTGACAGCTGGAGCTAGAATCCACATCTTTTGAATTCTTATCTAGGACTTTGTCTGTGTAAACACACTGCTTCAAATATAAGCCTCTGACAAATGTCTCAAAAATGTTGCTGTCCTGGCCTCCCTGGGCCCACTCACCCTGATCCGGCCTGTATACTAACCTGGCTAACTGTCTTGTTTAGGTACTTTTCAATCTAAACAATGAACATTGTTCATTACTTAATAAATATTTCTTCACTGCCCTCTAATCACATTATACTAAATGCTGAATACATGTAATAAATACAGAGTATGTGGTCTCTGCTCTCAAGGAATCTATTGGGGGGGCACAGGCAATAATCTAGTAAATAAACACATAATTACAAATGGTGAAATGCAATGAACACATCAAAAACATGAAATGAAACTACAGGATGGTGAGGAAGGACTGAGAGATGACATTTAAGCCAAAAACTAAAGGATCAGAAGGGAATCCAGCTTGCGTTCCTTTCTCTCTTGGCTCTAACCCTTGATCCAAACTCTTCTATATGCATGAAGCAATTTCCATCCTACCCTGCCACACAGTATCCTGCCTCTCATTGAGTTTATAGTTTAAGATCCACTTTTTTCAAATAAAATCCCCTAGTTAAGTCCAACACATTATTGAATTTTCTGGTATGGTTTCCCTCCTTCAAGTTCAAATTCTGGCCAACTCTTTTGCCCCCTACCCCCCACCTCCCATAACTTCTTACTTGCTAAGAATACATGTCTGTAGGCTACATGATTGTTTTTCAAACTTCCTGAGAGCAGGGGACCTATTATTTAGTATTTATCCCAAACGTCTGCTAAAAAAGAGTTGAGTAGTCAAATACTTTATATGTAGAGTGTCTAAGGGTCTAAATCCTACATATCACCATTGCTTTTTTTTACAACAGCAATAATTTCTTAGCAAATACCTTTCTATGATGTAAAGATTAGTGGATATCACAAGCATTCACAAATTGTTTCTTACTTTCATTTATTCAGTTCTCAAACGTTCAGTGGCTGAATGACAAACACTGAGCTAGACACTGCAGAAAGAGGAAGATGAGTAAGACACAGCCCACTTCCAATCAGTGGAGATACATATATAAACCCAATCAGGATTCATTGTGATGATTACTAATAGAAACATGTTGAGCTACTATAGAGGCAACTGTACTGAGATAGGACAATGTAGATCAAAAAGGACTTCACCAAGGTAAGTCTTAAAGGATGAATAGCAGTCCCCAGCAGATGAACAAAAGAATATTGAGAACACAATTAACAGTTTCCATGCTAAACACTGCATGAAACAAGTTACCTGGACATGACCTCTAGCCTCCAGAAACTTCACATCATGGGAGAAAATGATGCAGGTCTAAGACTCAGAACACAAGGTAAATAAATGTGACATTTCACATTTCAAGTGAAAAATGAACATATGCTAGTGCAGATAGTTTTGCATGGTCATAAGTAAAAAGGAAATTATGGGAGGACTTTTCCCAGTGGAGAATTGCCAAACACATCAAGCAGTCACAGTGGTAGCCAGTAGCCTTCTGCAGGAAGAGGACTTATTTGTTTACTCAAATTAAGCAATTAGTATTAATTGGTTTAGCTTGGTTGCTGTGCCTATAAAATATCTCTAATTACATTTTCAAAATTGAGTGTCTGCTTAAAAGACTAATATAGGAGGGTTAAATTGGAATGTACCTTCCCAAGGGAAACCTTTCCCCTAAGGCCTCTTGGGACATTTTTTAAGTGCAGGAGGCAAAAAGCACACTATTAATATATATGAGTTTGTGCCTAAGTGGCCAACAATTTTGTGATTAATCAACAATATCTCTTTTGCTTTATTTTGTCCTTCACCATCTAATTTTATTTTATAACTTTGTGATTTCTTAGCATTTCATAACTCTTCTTTAATTTCTCCAATTTCATTTGATCATACCTGAAAAAGGACATATGATTTGATCAACTTAGTTTTTCCAATATAGAAAAAATTCTATAACATGACTATATTTCCAGAAGGGGGTCTTTCTGAAAAAAAAAAAGTAATGGGAGAGATTTATCAAGAAGACAGGTTTTCATTTATAGAACTGGCTGAATTTTATTGTTTATAAAAATTACTCCCCAAGAAACTACATTCAAAATCAAGTACACACACACAAAGCTTATCAATACATTTAGAAAACAAATGTAGGGTTTCTGGAAATCAAAAGTATTACTTGGCAAGGTTGAGATTCTCAGGGGCATTAATGTGTCACAACCTGGGGCTTCTTTCTTCAGCAACATGAGGTATTAGAAACACCATTACCAACTAGAAAATGAGTGATACTGCCACTAATAATAAGCCTTTTAGGAGTGAAAATAGGAATTAGAGCCCATGCAATTTATTCAGGCATTCACTTTGAGCCTGTTTACTTACTGCAGAAAACCCTAAAAACCTGATTCTGTGGGGTTTTTTAGTGCCCTGCAAATTAAAAATGAAATATAAAACACATTGGAGAAAGCTACTGCTAAAGGTAATGAGGAGTGACAACTAAAATCCTGGCAGTGAGATAAAGAGGAAGAATATTATGTAAAGGGAAATAAAAATCCAAAAACCACATGAGGCCTAGTATACCTTATAAGTTCCTGGAGTGCACATAGCATAGGACAGTTCACTCTACGTGGTCATAATCTGTTGGCTGAGGAATGTGCAGTGTATTTCCAGTCACTTTTAAATGATTTAATATTTTTATTAGTATTGGGAGGACTGATTAGTTTTGATGAAGATTTGCGTATAAAAAAATACCTCTCATTAAAAATTGCTGGGTGAAGGAAGGGCAGCAGTGTTAGAATTCCTGCAGAGGGCAGCCGCTCCCGTCTGTGCATGAGCATGTGCGTGATGGCTCTTTTGCAATGTCTTTGAACAGCCTTCTGCCAGATGCTCTACTTGTTTCTTTACCTTTCTCTTTCTCTCTTTCTAGCCGGAGACCACCCCCATCACCAACTCGTCCCACTATAATCCGTCCACTAGAATCCTCCCTGTTAGACTAAACCAAGTGTCTGGCATGGCAATTAATTACTAATGAATTATGCAAAAGTAGCACATTTGGTAACTGTCGCAGTAAACCATGAGTAGTCGCATGTGTGGATACCAGTAGGCAAGTAACCAGTTTGACTAATTCATTCATCACTCATCCTCATTGCTGGTGGTATGTCAAACCTTTGGGGCTTGACTCTTGAAAACTGCTGACCCTTCGAGGCATTTTTTGTCGCCCTGAGTGAGGTAGGTTTGTGCAGTGGCCCTGTGCTTTGGGGACCACTTGCCCACCCTGGCATATATTTGAAATCGCTTTGGACAAGTTTTGCAGATTAACTACCAGATAGCCTATTAAACATAATTCTTAAGAGATAGTAGATGGTGGACTTATTTGCTTAAGCCATGCACATTCATTTTCCCATGTTCTGTTCTAGCTGACAGAAATTATGTTGTCTATTATTAATGTTTCCTCCTACTCCATAATTACTTATTTAGATCCTCTTTCCTTTCTGTTTATTTCATAAGACTGCTAGGAAGTGGTTTTTTAAATTAAGACTCCTTAAGAATAAAACTTTTCCAAAAGCACAGTGTAATTTGCAAAGGAAAAGTTAATGTATTGCTTGCTCTAGAGAGCTTCCCCCCATGCCAATATGTTTTGCTTTCATGCTAGAAGCATATTCCACAGTGTATTAAAGCTTGTGTTTTTGTAGTCAGTAGATTTGGCTAGTTTCAGAGTTCAAGGAAGAAGCAAAATATCACATCTCTAGAAGCATCTGGAAAACTATAATTTCTTTATTCACCTATTATTCACCTCCTCATAGATTATAGGGAAGGTGGATATGGAATATATTTAATTTTTCTTATCAATCTAATTTTAGGCATGGCTAACTACACTGTGACATTAACTGCAGTTCATTTATTTATTTGGTTGGTTGGTTGGAACAAAGATATATGTCTCTTTTTGTGCTAACTTGTAATTCCCTTACGTAAGAATTTATCCTGCCTTTTAAACAGTAACTTTCTATCCATTCTGGGCTTTCTTAGTACATCTCCAGCCTTACTATAGGACAACCATATTTAAAGAATGGGACCTGGTGTGGAAAGAAAAAGCATTTAATAAGAGATGCCATGGTTTTTAAGAGCAGCACTCACGCTTTTACAGTCCGGCAACTTCAGAGTCTCTATCCAGGTCATTCCAGAAAACAGTATTAAGACATTGAGATCTAAAGCAAATTGGCAAATTCTAAAATTTCTAAAATTTACAAGCACAGTTTAGCCTGGGGGTTAATAGTTCAGTCTGGAAGCTAAATTTTAGACTAGGTAAGACCAGATGATTAGCATGTCGGAAACAGCCAGGAGCCAACTGGAATTTTGTCTGCAAACTGTTCCAGACAGCAGACCCAGTATTTACCGAATAGTGGTGTCCCACGACGCTATTTCATATTCTACAGAAGTAAATCAGGTTTCACCGACTGAAATGTCGCCCCTTGAAAGCAGCAAATGTGATTTGTATGTTAACTGAACTTTAATTTCCTGTGTAGTTTATACACAAGCAGACATCCATAAAGTATGGAGTAAAAACTCTTAACCATTCATTATAAAAAAGAGAATTTGCCAAGCTGAATGGCATTGTTTTGAATTTATTCTAAAGGGTTACAGCTAGCCCACTTATAATAGGCAAAAATTAGAGAATACAAGATTTACAAAAAGGCGTTTCAACTTTTAAGTTAAAAGTGATTGTATAAAGAACACCACTCTACATCTTGTATCTCATTTCTCATTGGAAAAAAAGATTAACTCTTTGTGGATGGAATAGATGTGCAAGTACATACTGGATATTAAATAGAGCACCACAGCTAAATGGAAATATGTTAAATAAGTATCCACAGTAAAATGAATAATCTACAGCGAGACCTTTTCAGAAAAGTCCCTCTTTTTAGGATTCCCTTTGCTTCTTCCTTTGAATTCTCTAAAATAGGCAGCTAACGGATTATGTACTTCATGGTTTGGCTTTGTGCTAAATGTGGTTTCGTGTTTTGCTGTATTTCAAAAATTTCTTTCTGTTAAAGGAAAATATTGTGAATAACCACTGATGTGTTCTTAGATCAGCACAAACCATGTCAAAGAAAATTGGAGCTATTTTTCCAAGTTTCTTTCCACTGATCTTATGCAGTCATAAACAATAGCATTCGTCATCTTTGGCTTTTGTTCTCAGATTATAACCCCACAGTTTCCCTGTCCCACTTGTCTCTCTTTATGGGTAAATTTTTGTTCTGTTTTCCTTCTAAGTCCTGTCCAATAGCCCCTAGTCTCCCCTGGAATTTCAGCAATCATGTTGGAGTATTTTCAGTTTGCTGCAGTACTGTGTCCTATGATTAATATTAATCCCATTTCCCAAAGGGTTTGCATCCTTCTTAAAGGAGATGTCACTGTGAACGAACTTAGAAGCTCTAGGACTCCATAGCTTCAATGGCATCGTTTGTATCAGGCCTTAAGATGGGAATGTAGCTGAATGAGCTTTCTAAGTGTTTCCCACACCACTTCTAATCTTTTGTGTAACTTCCTCTGAACTGATTGCTCTGATGTTGTCTACACAATAGATGTCTAGTATAGTAAAATAAAATACATGGTGTTTTTAAGATTTGGAAAAATTAAGTGTATATGTTTATTTGATGGGTAAATCTATTTTATTGTCACATGCTAAATCTTGCATGCTTGTTGACTAATTGGAATAACCATTTACTCAGTTGTGAACAGATTATTGAAATAGTATTGATTTAGAACAGATATATTACATTTTCAGAAGGCATCCACCATGGCTGTTCTTCTGAATATTGATTTTAGCTATGTTTTGTAACATAGAAGAGCAGTAGAATCTCTTTATTAGCAAATTGCCTACTTGTTCAGATACAAACTCATTCTATTCCAAAACATGATAATAAAACCAGTTCCTGTGATATAACTATAAGCCTTCTGAACTTAGAATTAAAAGGTAGTCATATAGATTAATTTTATGGCTCTTTTAGTATAGACTGTAGCCATAATTCACAAATATGAAATGGGACCTAATACCAGTATGTGATAAATGTTGATGTTTTCTGTGTACAAACACATTTTCTATGCACGTTTCTCTATGTGTACAGTAAATATATATATATATATATAGTAAATTCATTTCTGTAAGTACATGTATTTTGTGCCCCTTTGGGTAAGTAGGTTTAAAATCACTTGTTAAAATGCCACAAGCATGAAGGTGATTGTATGTGCATTGTATATATATGTATATGTTTGGGTGTAAATATTTATGTATACATGTGCTTTATATGTGTGGGTATGAATATATTTTTTAAACGCTGCTAAAACAAGAGGTTTTGGAGGGCTTGCCATAATAGTGATAACAGTGGTTCATGTCTGATAACATACATGAACTATAAAAAATTTTCTCTAGAAGAGGCACAAAGCTCAGAATTACCATGACAACATGGTAGCATAACATCCACAGGCATTGTTTCTAAATCCATAGCACTGCTCTCAAATTACCTTAGCCAGTACAAGTTCAATAAGAAGCATAAGATTTTAAACTCTCTGATTAGAATTGTAAATTATTCTGGGATAGCTGAGCTGAGTCTTAAAAAGCAAAATTGGTCTACATAATCATTTTTTTCTCTATGGTATGTGTAAGAAAATAAAGTAGAGGGATACAGCAATATACTAAAAATAGTGGATTTTCCTGAGTGAATTTGCTAAAAATGCAGGAAAAAAGTTAGCACCTTGGAAGTATGTTATACACCCTCTTTTTCAGGCAAACTGCTTACATTTGGCAAACAATATAGACATTTGAAATGGACAGTAATCTCCTTAACACTAAGAAGAAAGACTAAATACGTAGGTCTCTGAACTGTGAAACTCAATAAAAGAAGGTACTATTTGAGACTCCAGCCATGCATTTTGTATCATTTCCCCATGAGGATTGCTGGCTGTGAGCTCAATTAATGTGCATGAAGCTAGGTGCAACAGTTCTTAGTTCATAGATCACTCACTCTTTTGGTAAAAGCTCAAATGTGTCTTCTAGATAATCTTAAATCATCCTGTCTAGCTGGTCTGTTTAAAATTACGTGGTGCTCTGTATTGTGGAACTTTAAAAATATTTTGAAGCATATGTAGTATATGCATTGCTATTTGTATATATGTGAAGAATGTGTGAGAACAACAGGAGAGACTCACAGAAGAATCTCCCATTTGTCCTAAGACCTGTTGATCCCCGTGTCTGGTGAGACTTCTCACTTCTGTGGTCTGGGATTTCACACATGGCTCAGCTCAAGGCACCCACTTCTTTTCCATTCTTACCCTTGAATTCTTTATACTTTTCTCATTATATAATGTTTTGAAAATTATGATAAAAATTCCTCTAACTTCTTGCATTGTCTGCTGCTGATTTGATAAAAATTACTCCCCCAACCAGAAATTCCATTACTTGATTTGTGTTTCATTTCATATATGCAGCCTTTGCTTCCATTTGCTTGTCTTGTTTCTTTTCTCTTGCTTTTCTGAATCAAATCCTCTTTCACTTTTTTTTTTTTTGATGAAGAAGCAGTGTACAGAAGCAAACTCTTGTCCTCACTATTGATTCTTTAATTAATTTGAGCCAGAACACTTCGCTGTCTTCTTGGCACTTTCAGGATTTCCTAATGCTGATATGCGATGGACTCTATGACTGGAATTTTTGAAGCAAGTTCCTAAAGCCTGTATCATTCTTAAAGGTCACATGTACCTGTTGTGAAAATGTGAAACTGTATTTCTGAACCTGAAATAAATGACCACGTTTGAAGGACTTCCCCCTTCCTCATTCTTGTACATATTTGAGTCATGTCTATTCATATCAGTAAGATTTGAGACTTCTAAATGTTTATAACTCTTTTTTAATTGAATTGGCCCAGAATTACCAATGTGACGAATGATAGAATTTGGCATTACTGGCATTACTTTGGAGAAGGACAAGATTTTTAAAGGGAGTAAATTAGACAAATCAAAGGTGGGAAAGTGGGAGATGTTTGTACTCCTGATTTGGAGTCACTGTTGGGAGTAGGTTAATGGACACAAACCTGCAACAGCTGGAGGATGTGGTATGACACTTTCCAAGAGGCATATATAGTATATGCATTGCTACTATTGAAAAGAAACTGTTTATGAAAAACCCTGGGAAGTTGAAGGAGGAAAAATGCTCTGCCCAAATGTTAGGCCCAGAGAGGACATTTCTTAGAGGAAATAATTGAGCTCCTGACTCAATGGTTGGCCTCCATTGTTTACTCATTGAGCATTGAGGGGAGAAGATACCCCTTCCTATTTCCTCAATATTAAGAGAATAGAAAAGTGTTCAGTGGTTACACATCCCTGCCCTGAGTTTCCAGGGAATAGAGAAAGACTCTTATGTTCCAAGAGTTTTGATGAGAGGTTCCTTATCCACATGCACAGTCCCAGACTGGGCCATCGAAGAGCAGAAGACAAGAAGGGGATAGGAGGAGAGAAATGCTGGCTTCATTTCCCACTGTGTTTAGGATATGCTCACTGTGAAAAGAAGAACTGGAAAGATTATTGTGTTAATCCATGCTTTCCTATTATAACTTCTTTCTTATATCTATACATTTTCCATGAGTGTAGACATCAGTGCTTTCAAAGGAAGTTTCTTTCTGGAGGAGAGGGTCAGGGTGAGAAAAATGCTGTGCACGTTGTGTGTGTGTGTGTGTTTGCTGCATGATTTCTACATTCAGAATAGTTTCTAGTGGGAATTAACCAAACCAAAAGGCTTTACTATAACTTTTTGGCAATTTGACATTTGTATTTTTAAAGTAGTTTTGGCACCAGGATAAATCTGCTCGATTCATTTTCAAGATTCTTAGGGGTTTTTTTGCTGCAATCTTTAAATTTCAAACTAAGAGACATATCTGGTACTTCAGTTAGATGGGTGTCATACCCTACTGTCTAGTACTTCAGCACAGCCCTGGAATTGCCACTTTGAAGACCATTTGTTGGTGTTCTTGCACACTGTGGCAGCCTAATAGTTAGAATACATGCAAGAGATGTTAACTAAGACTACAGCCTTAATTCAGAGTTTCCCAAAGTCCATTCTGTGAGATTTTAATAAGTTTTACAACCATATGCACCAAGAGGGTCTTGATTAAATATACTTGGAAAATGATGACTAGAAATTAAATGTTTCTTTGCTGGAAAACTTTATGGTCACTGTGATATCAGATTGCATTGTGCATCTCTAAGCAGATTAGTGTCTACATGTTTCTCAGATGTATTTGACCATCGGCGCTGTGTTCACAGAGCCTCCACAGGATGAGTGTTCCGAGGTGCTTGCCTTAGGAAACACTGCCTCAGTGGCTTTGGGCCAGAGGGAAAAGGCACTGAGTGACATTATCCCAGTGCAGACTGTCACCAACAGAAAGTTGGGGGCTAAAATCAAATGTAACAGTTACCAGAGCCCCCAACCGAGGAAGATCCTTCTGGAGCTCTTGTGCTCCGGGGCAGGAGGTCACACAGGAACACAAGGCGTGAAAGCAGGTTAGAGATGTACATGATGTGAGTCTTAGTGAGCCTTGTGGAGGGCACAGATAATTTCCAATATTACCTTTTCTCCCTCTGCAAAAAAGAGCGCCTTTAAATAAATTGCATTACTGTCATTATCTTCTCATAAAGGAAAGGATCCAGGTTGATTTACAGTTAAGGATCATCAGAGAAGAGCTGAGGAGAATGCCTGTTCTTACGGCTTCTCACCTGTCATTTTCCCAAGCCCGCAGGCCCTCCTCGCTGCTCTGGGGTACTAAGTCATCTAACGATGGTCAAAGAAAGCAAGCAGAGAATGTCTTGTGATATTTTAACAGAAAAGAAAAAAAGTTGTAAGGAAGACCTTCCCAGGGATCTTGCCAGAGGAATGTCACTGTAAGAACAGATTGCCTCCTGAGGCAGATCCACGAAAATGTGGGTAATTCATCATACTTATCAATAATTGAGTCTGTTCTATGTGACTTATGCCCATGTTCCATATGTGGCTTTGTTCCCATTTTGATCAAACAATTCCCTGAAGATATTTTTCAGAAAGCTTGAAAAGGCATGACCTGAAATTATAATCTTGATTAGGTAGATTTGCCTGAATGGTGAATACTAGGATGCTGAGCTTTAAGATTTGTTAGCCGCTCAGTGTTCCAAACCTTTCAGTACTTGAGCTTTTGTACTGGGAGCAGCAGCAGTATGAGGTCCCTTTGTAGCTCTTCATATCAAAAGCCCAAATATTTGCAGCACTCTCCTTCAAGCACTTCAGCATCATGTGGAGGAAGATCTAGAGAAGAAATAGAAAAAACCTGAACTGCCAAGACGCATGATGGAATTAACTCTGAGCCACTACCTTGGATCATCATCAGTGATGCTTCCTTGGCAACAAGGGAAAATCAGATACAGGATAAGTGAAGAATAGAAAGGGACTGTCTGGGGTGATAAATGTCACTCTGATGTTTGAAGCAAGCAGTCTCGCCGCTGGTGAAGTGCATTCTGGGTCTGTGGATCAGCACATCAGACTAGCTCACACAGGGAAGTGCTTGGTGTGTGCTAACAGAGTGTCCCTTCAGTGCTGTGGACTCTCCGTTCAGCTTACTGGCTCACCTCCCCACACTGCCGAGGTAATTAAAGTGTTCTAAAGGTCCTTCTGAGCTCAAAAAATCGTTTCTGTTTGCTGGGCAGGTGATAAATCTCATTGAGCCCGACAGAAATTTAATTATGCTTTCCTCATGAAAACACAGGGTTACCCACTACCTGGATCTGTAAAGCTAAAGGCTTGCAGACCCCCTGAAGTTGGAAGGTCACTAGTAGCAAGTTCTTCATCATTTAAATGGATGGGGGGCCTCCTGAGTGTAACCAGCTTAAATTGAACCAAAGAAAAATTGGTCTTGGACTTGGAGGAAAGTAAGATCATTTTTTACCACTGCTCAGAAATAGCCTGGTCAGTTGCTCCGGTAACATCTCATGGAAGATTAAAAGAAGCCTGTTTTCATTTTTGTTCTTGTTTTGTTTTCTGTAGAGTTCATTGCTCCACTCACTGAAGCATTACCAGAGTCAGATGGAAGTGAGCGTGTTATGGACACCTGGATGAGTAGTCAGAGAGAAGTCCCACAGAGAGCGGAGTGCTGAGCTAACCTCACGGTTCTGTGGTTGGCCGTAATGTTGAGCTCATTACCAATTCGGTTAGAAAGAGGAAATTAAAGTGTAGACACTGCTGGAAAGCAGTGGGGAAGCTCCATCGGCCTGCTGTTGGCCCGCTTCAGGCTGGTGGTTGCACTGTAGAGATTGCTGTGTCTTCCCAAGCAGCCCATAATCCAGGAAGGCTGAAGTCAACTCTGGCCCCTTATTCCATCACCCATGGGTCTTGCAAGGTGCAAGCTGGGCTAGGGACATGGAGAAAAATCTAGCAAACCGAATCTCACTCACGCTGGACCCAGTAAGTCAAAACTTCCTTGGCACCCAACTCCAAGATAGCAGGAAGTGCTGTAAAACCCCGGGGTCACCATGGACAAGAGCGAGCCCTGTGGTTTTCTGGGCCCTGGAAAGGCTATCGAGATAGTTATCTGAACCAAATTCTTACTTACAAACCCTTTCCTCAAGATGGACCCTTGACATTTTCTGCATTGTGACTATATTGCTTTTGTTCTCTTGACACTTTCTAATTTCGGTCATCTTTGAAGTATTTCACCCATCATATTTCTGTATCAATTCCCTATCCTCCATGGAGATTTCACATTTATTGAAATCTTTAGAAAGAATGGAATGTCACAAAGTCAGGGTTGGGAAACACTCAGCTTATAAAGGTGTTTGGCTCCAGCACTACTCCCAGTTCTGAATATGATTGCACGGATCTGTCATTCCATGGTTCAAAACAATACACCTTTGGAGCAGCCTCAAATGGCTCACCCATAGCACGCTGCTGACAGCCAGGAAAAGCCTGGGTACTGCTAACCGGGCTACGTGTCCTTTCACTTCCCCTGCATGCCTGCATGTTTTTTGTCTGACTTGAACTTGACTTTTGTGGTATATTTTTGCATGCTCTTATTTGGATTTGTTTTATAATTGAAATATTTTCTTCTGCTGCATCTATGTGTTTCTTTTTGTTATTTTGTTTTGTTTTGTTTTCACTAGGCGACCCCCTCCTGCAGTTCCAGGACGACCATCCTAACCCCACCACTCATCTCCTTTTGTGTCCAACAACATGTCTATCCATGGTATTTAAAAGCCTTTTGTTTGCACTATATGTCATATGTACATAAAAACTTTTATTTTTGACCCATGTCTATAATAAAAACAAAGTTTATTCTATATAAAAAATGAAATGTGTTCTGTTTCTTTTTCTAAAGAAGACCCAAATTAAAATAAGAGTGTTTACACTAAAACCAGGTATGGTGAAAAATACACAACTCAATCTCTTAAAGAGTTTTAATTGAATAAGATTGATTTTATATTCTTAAAGTATTGCAGTTTAAGGTACTATTTGGTGGACTATAATGATCTATCTTCTGTTGAAACGTCTGTGTAATAGAAGTGTGAAAAGATGAAATAAAAATTCTGGGGATCTAGAAAAGTCAAAGAAGACAATAATTTTAACCTGCCTCCAGGAATCCCTTTAATAATTACTATTGCACCAAAACTTTTTTTTTCCTGTTTTTATTATTTTTCTAAACACTCTTGTAGGAGATAAAATATGGAAGATCGTGGAAGTAACTGTAGGTCTGAAACACATAAACCTCACACATTGTACTGGCAAATCCAGCAGGGAAAAACACCACTCAGAACAAACGTGCAGCAGGGCACAAGGAAGTGCCGCCACCTTGAGAAGAAAGATTCTTAATGATGTCAACAAAGTATGGGAAGAAAGGAGTTTATGAGTTTGAGGGAGAAGAGAACGTTTTTAAACCTTAATCCTCAAGTGGTAATTCCATTCCAACACTGAAATTTTGAGCTATCTTTTTTTAAAAAATCCTGAAGATTTATCCAAATAAAATGTTTATGATTAAGGTATAATAGTACATCCTGCAAAATATGTGATCTGAAGCCTTCCCAAAGGCTGGAATATAATTTAGAATTTTCTTTTTGAAGATTTACATGGTCTAGATTAGAATTTAAAAGTATCTCCAATTGGATGATACAATTTCTGAAGGTACCGCTCTTTAGCATATTAAGACAGAAAACTATAGAACTGGAGAGTAAAAAATTCTTCTTCAGTCATCGGTTTCTTATTTACTTGGTGTCTAATCTAACCAAGTCCTGGCAAAGAGCAGCAACAGGAATGATTTGGGCAGGAACCTCCAGTTCAAAAATGGACACTCCTCACCAATGAGGCTCTTTTCTTTGGACCATAAAAATCTGTTCAAAGTGTAATGCTTTCAAAAATGAAAACCCATTTCTCGGGTTAAAATTTTCATTATGGCATGGCACATCAATTTTTACCTGTATCCCAGGTCGGTGACTGGCAGGTGGAAGCAAACGGTAACTAAGAAAATGGGAAGGTGCCAAAGTAGGTGGTAACTGCAGCACACACAGAGCTGAGGCGAGCGAGTTGGTGCAGAATAACACTCAGTGTGCCTTTCCCCCTTCCTCCACCTCCAGTCCAGGAATTAGATTTTTCACTCAGTATTCTTATCAGAGAGCATTCTCACCCAATAGCATTCTCATCCTAGCAGACACTATGGTCCTGGATGACTTCATACCACCCCCCCCAAACAAAAACAGGCCATCAATGGGAAGGTTTCCACTACTAGTTCATCTTATTTAGGTGTTTGAGACTTTCCCACTTTGTCATAAACATGAACTTATTTTTTTATATAGTGGTACCCAGTTTCAATGTTTAAAACTTAAACTGACTGACCTGACAAACAACGAAAAAGGAAATCTCAAGTTGTGGCAGAATGAAACAATTTCCTGGCAGCCTCACTAGGTCTCAGCAAAGAAGTGTGATCCCTTCCACATTTGGCAGCTGAGAAAACAAGGGGCAAAGCAAGGGGAAACCACCTGGAGTAACATTAACCTATGCTATGGTTTGTTCATACTTATTTACTGTTCATGGTGTTTCTGTGTTTCATCATACACTTTTCTGAACTCTCCCTGTCCCCACAGCACCCTCAATATTTGATAGACAATTAAAAAAATACAGCACTCTTCAGAGCTGGTCATAACTCAGGATCATCAGGAGGAACAAACGATTATACCTTTAGTAAACATAGTATTTTTAAAATAGTATCCCTTTGTTTATGCAGCTAACACTTCTTGAATTCATGATAGTGTCCTCTCACGTGGTACGGAAGTACCAGAAAAGTAACAGGACAAAATTAGCCTACAAAACAGCTAAAGAAGTAATCACAGTATAATGCTATGATAGGAGATTGTGGTCATTTTCCCAAGGAGAACTGTTACTGACTTAAGTGCTGAAGAAGCCACTTAAGTTCTAGGACCAGATTATCCGCTTAGCCCAACTAACGCTAACATTCCAGAACGTGGTGACCTGGGCCTCTGACAAAGAAAGGAACAACAGAACTCATTCCAGCCAATCAGAAGCCACATTTTTCAGTCCTAATGGAAGGGCACAAGCAAGACTCTCCACCACGTCGGTGTTGGAGTGGAACGAAACTGAGGTACTCAGTTAACATTGGCTTCTAATAGAAAGGCTTCCGACTGAGAGTCTGCAGCCGTGTCTCCCGCAGACGGTGAGTTTTCCCCAATCCCCAGCTGGAGAAACCCGGGACATCTGAGCGATGGAGAAAAGAGAACTAAAGGTAGGAAAAAATGAGTAACTTCCAATCCTTTGGTGTTTTACTGGGAAATAAATGTCTGTAAGCCCTGGGGACCACATACATACTAAGGAGTTGATGCAGCAAATATCCTAGAAGTCGAAGGCCAAAAGGAGATAAATAAACTCTGCTGTTTATTCACAGATGTGGATACTTTCACTGTGTCCGGAGTATGATCTACTTTAATCCCCTTTATCTCAGAATTTGAAAAAATATTGTGTTTTCCAACATTTGTTGTATAACTCAACATTAAGTATGATTTTTTGAAAAACTCAAAATTGATACTGGAATCTTTAGACCAGTTCCATGAGATTCTGAAGGAAATGTTTGTAACTGCAAATCCATTTTTATAACATGAAACTCACCCACTGGAAGGTAAGATTGCTGAAAAAGTAAAATCTGAGCCCTTTATAATAGACTGCAGAGTCTATAGCTGAATAAATCTCCTGGAGTTGTTGATGCTACACCAGTACACGTCCCCCATTCAAAGGGACATACCAGATGCCTCCACTACCATGATCCACCCATTGTTGTTTGGGTTTTTTATACTACAAGTTACTATGGAATCACAATACTGCCAACATATTAAGACTGGGTGAGGTGGCGGGCTATTGGATGAGTCAAGACTATAAACTGCCACTCCCAGATTGTTTTAAATCAAATCAAATTTTACGGACTTTATGTCAGGTCCTGATATGCAGCTGCAGTGCACTTCTTCAACGAACCTCACCAACAGGAGCCGTGGGCAGGCACAGAGTAAATCAGGCCTTAGCAAACCCCTGGGGATCAGAGGGACCTAAGGATCCTCAAGACTGAAATGGGAATGTCACTGAAGTGGGTGCTGCTCTCAAACCAACTGCTAACAAGGTAGATTTTTGAAGCTCCATATAACTCTATTGAAAAAGGAGTGGTTCAGCCTCCTATAGGCTTTACTTTTTTCTTCCAGTTCTCATCCCTGTGGGTACATTTCAGAAGGCCACTGAGAGCAAGTTAGCAATGAGGAGCCTGCAGCCTTTTTCTCTTTTAAAGACAAAAATACTCTTACCTACTTACACAAAAGCTGCCTGGAGCCCAAAGATCTGTTTATTTTACAATTTAGAGAGAGTGGGAGGCCCACAGTGTTCTCACCGAGCACAGTCCAAATGTTCCTTGGGCCCTGCACGAGGCCGCAGGGCCGTTCCGGAGTGGGGATGTGAGTGCCTCCTCTGAGCCGGCTCCGAGGGGCCCGAGGGGTGGTGGTTTCCCTCTGCCCTGCTCTGGTCACCCAGGGTCTGTTGTCCCAACAACCTTGTGGTCAAGGGATTGTAGAACTAGACAGTTCAGGACCCAAGTTCCCCTTCCTCTGGTGCCCTGCCCCTGCATTTCCTGCAGGGCATGAAGAGGGTCCAGCACCATGGGGTTGCCGCCCCTAGTGCTGAGCAAATGCTGAGTAGGTGGGAGACTTGCTTCCTAACCACCCTCCCTCTAGGGACCCTGCCGTTCTTCACAGGATGTGCCTGGGAAGGAAATTGTGTTTGGGTTGGGTGGTGATGGCTACTATTTCCCAAGGCATATGACCAACCCTAACTGCACCTGTGAGCTGCAAAGAAAAAGAAGCCCAAAGACTGGGATGGTCTGTCAGCTCGCTCCCCCGGGCCTTGCACTGTTCCTACTCCACCTCTTCTCTGCACTGAGCTCTCCAGAGCCCTCCCCGTGGCCAGGGGAGTGTGCCCCTCAGCCTGATCAGCCCCAGGGCCTTCATACTGTGGCTCTTACCTGGGCTCTGATCACTTTGCCCAGAATCAGACTTTCCAGAACACTACAGATGGCACTGCCCCACTGTTGGAAGTGTGCACAGCTCTCAGAAAGTGGATTATCCCCAAAAGGCTCTTGTCAAAATGTGCATTACCCAGAGAATTAGCATGTTATTCTTTTAGCAAACGATTTTAACATGTTCATGATGCTATGAGGAAGCCTGCACGCTAAGGTCACACCTCATTCAAGGCAAAGTGCAGGCCCCAGAAATCTGCTCCTCCCTACCCACCAACACCCACCTTCTCATCACCATTTGCCTGGAACTCGCCAGGATTCTGGTTATCAGCCCTTGATCCTAGCTGACCCCACAGACTTCTAGGCCCACTCCTCTCCCCAGCTGCTGGAACTCTTAGGCTGTACCGGCTATAATTCCCTTCCAATAGTCTCCAACATTCCCTGCACCTTCACCCTATTGCCTGGATGTGTCCTTCACCTTCTCGCTTTCACGCAACCACATTCTCCCCAAAGGGCACCGCTTCCCTGAAGCCTTCTCCGGGGGGGCAGCCGGTCTCCCACAGGTCACATGCTGCTGAGCCCGCACTCAGGGAGGCAGCCTTG